CGCCCCCCCCCTGCTGCAGTTGTTAAAAGCTGGGGGTGAGGGAGGGAGTCAGCATCAGGCTTCCTCAGTGACGGATAGAGGGTGACATCCTCTCACCGCAGTTCATACTCATTTGTCCTTGTCTCTCCAAGGATGGCCGGTAGACCTGGAGCAGACACAACTAGGTCCTACACGTCTGCTGGGCGTGTGGATGGATGTGCGATGGGAGCGTAGAAAGGATTGTTAAAAGCTGGGGGTGAGGGAGGGAGTCAGCATCAGGCTTCCTCAGTGACGGATAGAGGGTGACATCCTCTCACCGCAGTTCATACTCATTTGTCCTTGTCTCTCCAAGGATGGCCGGTAGACCTGGAGCAGACACAACTAGGTCCTACACGTCTGCTGGGCGTGTGGATGGATGTGCGATGGGAGCGTAGAAAGGATTGTGTGTGAACAAGTGGATGGGTGAGTGGGCTGTGGGTGGGAGGAAGGATGGGTAAGGCAGTGGATGGGTGAGTGAGAAGGTAGATGGGTGGGTGGAAGGGGAGCTGCACAGATTTGAAGCGAGTGGACCAAGCGGTCAGCTCAGACGCCCTGAGGCCAGCTGAGTCATTGCACAAATCACAGATCAGGAAGTTTTAAAATAAGTCAAATGGAGGACGTCAGGGAGCGAGCCAATGTGGACGTGGTGGATGTGGGTGGCGAGTGAGGCGAGAGGAAGGGCCCAGCGGGCTCAGATGCGCACCTCAGCTAAGCCCCTGCGCCAGCTAAAGGGTGTTCTTGCTCCAGCTCCCACAGCTGGCCAGTGACGAAGCCAGAATGACAACGCAGCCCGTCATATGTATGTAAATTCTATGAAATAGGGCAGAGGAGGGAAGGGGAAGTGGAGATAAGTCACTGGGCCCCGGGGAGAGAGAGAGGGAAGAGGAGAGAGAAACAAGGAGGGCAGGGTTAGGGCCGTGGGTCTGCGTGTTGGTGACAGGCCTTACCGCCGGCCAGGTGTCCCATCTGAAGGCCCCAGAGCGCCTCAGCCCCAGCCTTCGGTGCAGCCGCAGAGCTGAGCAGGCAGACCCAGGCTGGAGCCCGCGCGGAGCCTGCCTGACCTTGCGCAAGGCCACGCACCCTCACTGGTCGTGGGCATCCTCTCCTGCAACATGAGAATCACACGCGCCTCCCTGGGCAGGCGGAGGGATCCCTGAGCCCTGTCTGGGCACTGAGAGCCAGGGCAGCTGCCCCCCTGTCTGAGCCGGGCAGGCCCGCAGCTGCGGCTGCAGGTGGAGGGCGCCTCGGCTCCCAGGTGGCCACTTCCTGCCGGCCCCGCTCTGCAAGTCGAAAGGAAAGCAATCCCAGATGGAAAAGTAGGTGCGCGCGAGGGCCCCAAAGATCTCATTTTCCTTCCCGTGACTATTTTGATATTTCTCTGGCGATGTCAAATATTGTATCATTTTCAAAAAAACGGTTCCCTCCACCTTATGGTGCCTTAAACACAGGGTAACCGCGAGTCTGGTTTACCATGTGGCCCCAGCATAAGGTTACCAGGGCCCTTTTCATCCTCCAAAGCTGCCCTCCTGGGCGCGCAGTGAGCTGAGGTAGGCAGCCTGGGTTTGAGCCACGTGGAGAATCTGAAAGCTGCCGCCTGTGGCCTTCCTGACCAGGGGCTGCTACACTCCCCGGCAGGGCACCCCTCTCCTGCTACACAGACACCCACTTCCCCTTTCCACGTCTGTACAAGATTGTGCTGCCGGGGCCCTTAAGAAAGTCTGTAAACGCTACTGCTGCAAGAGGGACTTGGCTCACGCGTTCGTTAGCAGGCAGGCACCGGGTACCTACTCACTCCAGCCAAGCGCTGCAGCCAGGACAGGCACCACATCACCCAACGCGGTGTCAGGCGGCGTTAGGGTTATAAGGAAAACAAATGACTCCGCCGCGGGCGGAGTTCCTTAGGATGCAGTCACCCTAGCCTGGCTGTCGAGGCTGGGGGCGGGTGCTGCAGTGTGTTGAACGAGGCTGTGAGGACAAGGGGATGGGGACGCGGGACGGAGCA